GAGATCTTGGGGAGAAAAAGCAGATGAGGACTCAAGGACTTTTTGTAGAATAGATACCAGTTTGTTTAGATAATATTTGTCAGGCATAGATGGTTCTGAGCCCATCCTGAAGGCATCGGGAATGTAATCTGGTGTAAAGTGTCACGAATGTGCAGTCTGCCATGTGATCCAACAGCTGCACACAAGTTCTCACTGTTCGAGGACTTAACTGAAGCTGGGAGATGAGGTTGGACATTGTGACAAATCTGTCTGACAGTACGTGTGTTCTGGTGGTCTAGGAGTTCAGGGTGGCCCCAATGAACTTGATACATTGGGTAGGTATCAAAGTGGACTTTTCTCTGTTGAATGTTAGCCCCAGTGTGTTGAAAAGAGGTAGAGCCTTTCCAACTGCTGATTGTACCTCGTTGTTCGAGGAGTCAGTAATCTAGTAGGCAAAGACGATCACTCCTAACTATTCAGCTGGACAGCCACTAATGACAGAGCCTTCATGAAGACTCTTGGGGCAGTAGAGAGCTTAAATAGAAGTATCTATTATTGATAATGTTTGTGACTGACTGTGAACCACAGGAAGCAATTGTGAGCTGGATGCATTGCTACATGAAAACACACATCCTGGAGGTTAAGGGCCACAAAGTAATCCCCTGGATCTAGAGGTGGTATAATTGCTGCTAAGGTCATCATCTGGAACCTCTGAGTCTGGATAAATATTTTCAATGTTCTGAGATCCAAGATCTGTCTCCATCCCACCTTCTTCTTGGGCACCAGAAAGTATTTGGAGTAGAGTCTTTTTCCCATGTTGGAAGACGGGATTTCACTTCTTATATTAGGAACCTTCATGAGATGGGTCCCTGAGGAGGGGCAGTGAGGGTGGGTGGAGAGGAGGCATAGCCTGATGTGACAACTTCTACCACCCACCAGTTCAAAGGGATTCATTCCCATGAGTGCATGAAATGGGAAAGATGGTCCCCATAAGGCAGGAAATGGGAAGTAGAAAGGTGGTGGAGTGCAAGATCCAGATAATGAAGTGACTTGTGGCTCTCAACCAATATATCAAAATGGTGGTTTGATGCAGGCTGGTAGCTGGGCAACCACAGAGGTGGAACCTAGATCTTTTCTTGGTTGGTTCTATGGCCCTTTATATATTTGAAACTGCCACAGATGAGAGAGGCTAATGAGGCCTTGGCAACGAGTTGTCCTTCAGTGATGAGTGCCTGGAACCGGTCTCTTTGTTATTGTGGACGATATTCAATAAAATGAGTGAAATTTATTATAGTTTGTGTAATTATATTGAGCAATTACATCTTGGTAATTTGCTACCCTAAATTGTAATAAGGCTGAGGAATAATTTTTATGACTGAAAAGGTCCAGCCGCTTATACTCTTTATCATGTGGACCTGGAATCATGCTGTTTGTTTCATAAATAGTACCAACCACCGATCAGTTCAAGATAGTCAAATAGGTATTCTGTGCCACTGGAGTGAATATTTCTTGTCCTTTCTTTTCCAAGTGGGTGGGACAGAAGCAGGTATTTAACATACTGTTCTCGATGGCTCTAGCAAGGCATCATTTATTGACAAGGCCATCCTGCCCTAGGAGGTGTAATGAAGGATTTACATCATGCTATGCTGCGACTCCTGCACCTCTTCCAGAGGGATTTGCAGAGACTCAAATATTCTTTACATGAAATCTTGGAAAAGTTTGAAGTCGTCTGCATAGGAATGTGGAGGAGGTATTACAGCTTCATCAAGTGAGGAAGAGGACTTATTAGTGGGTGGTGTTGCCTTTCTATCAGCCCACAGTTCTTGGTTTCTCCTGACAAGGGTAGAGATGAGGGGGGTCCTGAGGAACAAGTCCCTCTCACTCCTGGTGGTCATTCCTGAGAGAGTGTGCTCTTATAATACTGGTCTCCATATGCAGCCCAGGAGCTGCAGAAGGGACACTGAGGCAGGGCATAGGGGAAGAGCAATGAACCCCAAAAGAGGTTATAGCAAGGAGGCTGTTGAGGAACTCGCATGTGTCTGGTTCCTGCTGACCCTCTTTTCAAAACAGACTTCTGGGGAGGGGGTCTGAATGGGAAGATGATAGATTCCTGAATGGACATATCCAAGTCAGCAAAGGAGTCTTTGAAGGGGAGCTCATTTAGTTGGTACCAGAGGAGATCATGGGTCCACAAGGTTTCCTTCAGTACCCATCAGTAGGGGGAAAATAAGGCTCCTTGAATAGTAGGAGGTCGCTTAGAAACAGGAATCTGCTCAGTACCAGGAAGGCAGGACATAGGAGAGCTGAGTCCATCACAGTTGAAGCCATTGGTACCAAAGATGGCACAGGGGCATGAATAGAATGCCTTGTGTATTTGTACCCTAGTCGAGTGGCAGGAAGCAGGGGAGCTGGTGCCAGTACTGATCTCTTTGAGGTGATGGAGCCCTTATGCATTACTGGTTCAGTGCCACATATTACCATTAGTACCAGGTGAAGCTGCACGCCAAGAGACTTTTCAGAGCAGGGAGCACTAAAGGTCTTCTTAGTCAGTGCAGGAAGCTCAGTACAGGAGGGTCTTGGAGCCTCAACTATACCCATACCAGAATTCAATGTCTCCTTGCTAACAGATTTCTGAGGCAATTTATCCCTTTTCTTCAAGGCCTCTCTATCAGGAGGCTTAGGTCTCATCTTTTTTGAGGGCTCTGAGCTACTATCTGGAGATACCCCATGGTTCTTGCCCCCTAGAGTGGAGTGATGGAAATTGAAGGGGTGTGCTAGACTAGTCAAAGCTGCTGAACAGGCCCCAAGTTGGAGGAGGGTCTCATAGAATGCTCCATGAGCAGCAGCTTAAGTCTGTCCTCCTTCAGTATCCTGGATTTGCTTCCAAATCCAATGCAGATCTTGCACCTTGATGGGATATTTATCTCCCCCAGATATTGGAGACAGCTAGAATGAATGTTGTTGAGGGGTAAATACCTTCTAGGGGTCAGGCAGCATTTAAGACCAAGGGTTTGGGGCATAATCAGCAAGGAAAGAGAGACACCTCAAACAAAGGAAAAGGCTCTAAGTGAGGTGGGAGGCCTGACCTTGAAAAATGAGGGGACCCTCTGAAAAAAAAAAAACGCACAAAAAAGTGTGCAAGTAAGTTCAAAAGTAAAATAAATTTAATAAAAAATGTCATAAAAATAAAGGAATTAGGCAAGGACAGCTGGCTAAGACAAGAGGTACACTAGTGCATGGACACTCCAGGGTTCCCTTTCAGGCAGTGGGCAGCTGAGAAAGAACTGGAGTAGCAGCGGGTCTGACCTGCCCTCAGATCAGAGCAGGAGGGTGTACAGAGCACAGCTAGCACAGACCATGTAGATACCACTACCAAAAATCTCTCATCCAAGGTGCACATGCACACCTAAAGTGAAGCACCCATAGGAATAATTACAAAAAGAAGAACTAAGGTTGATAGTGGCCTTACGTATTGCTACATGGCTGCAAAAAATAGACCAATGTGATTTTCAGATGCCTGCATACACTAAGGCATCGCACCAGAGCAGGCAGATAAGAGTCCACTGCAACCACATCTAGATTATTGTGTTCTGTTCTGGATACCACATTAATAGAAAAAAAATTGGAATAAGTATAAGAAAGCTACACAATTGATCTACACAACTGATGATAGAGCTAGAGGGATTATTTTATGAGGAAAAATTAAAAGAACCAAATACATACTATAGATTGGCTAAGCAATAACTACGAGGAGGAAGGAGACAGAAAAACATAACTATCCACAAATAATGAAAGATCTAAACACTAAGATCCCAACTCAGCAAAACCACTTTGAGACGTTCTTAACTTTAAAGCACATGCTTAAGACCATCCCTATTTAACAAAGCATGTAAGTACACACTGACATCCTACCAACTTCAATAGGACTTAACTATGTGCTTAAGTGCTTTGCTGAATAGAGATGATTTTAAGCATATGCCTAAAGTTAATTATGTGCCTAAGTAGTTTTGCTGAATTAATACCCTAGAACGGAACAGAATTATTCCATGTTATACATAGAAATATAAGCAGAAGTAATAGCATGAAATTAGAAGAGAGAAAGTTTGGTCTTACTATCAAGAAAAATTGATCAACAATGAAAAGTAAGAGGCAAGTCAACAATGTCACCTGGGATTTTAAAACTAAATTTGACAAAATACTAGAAACTGTTTACTCCTGGGAACAAGACTGCATTGGCAAGAAATCAGACTGCATGATCTAAAAGGTCCTTTCCATTTCTAATGTCTATGATTCTATAATTATTTAAAGCCAGTTCTCAGTGCAAGATAACATCACTGTCATCCACAATCCCCAAAACGCTCATGATTAAATACTGATTTATTTACATGTATGAGAAAAAAAACCCTTGAACACTATTTTAAATATAAGGCACAACTCTTGCACCCAATTACCTATTCCCCCAAATCAGTTCAATTTACACTGTAGATCTTGCACAGATTCAGCTGCTGAAATGAATTCTAGGGTGGGGCTTTCAAGTCAAGGGTGTCATCAGTGTTTAGCATACAACTTTAGAGGTGCAAAGTAATACTCGTTTTGCATTTATTTTAGACTGATTCAAGGGGGCAAAACAAAAAGGGAAAAGAATCTGGCCATTAATATTAGGAATATTTTCCTTATTAACCTTTCAAATAAATTAATTTGAATATTTAATTGTTTTACATTAATGTTAAATTATGATGTTACATTACTATATTATCTATTATTACTACCACATATTTATATATATATGGTGGTTATACACCTCTGATAAATGTCTTGATGATCTTATTCAAGGAATAAATCCTAGAAGCAGTGTGTCTTTTTATGTAGCTCTTTTGGTTTTAGCAAAATAAAATGGATAAAAACAGAAAGAAGAGTTCATTTAGCAGACCTATACAAAATCAGTCCTTCATTATATTTGAGGAAAGGCACAACTGTGACTTGACTTTTCATGTTTTTTTCCTAGACTAACAGCCACCTACCTGCTGCTGTACCGGTACTTGCTGTACTACCTGTGTGGGCACTGCTGCCTGGCCAGCCACAGATGTCTGTAAAGTCACTGTTGAACCTGTGTCCGACACAGTCTCTGATGTCTGCATCGTGGTCTCTGAATAAAATTAAAATGTAAAATCCAGTTTACCACATGAACTTTTTTGCTTGTTGTCACTTATCTTTATGTAAATCTTAAAAGAGTAACATTTGCCCAAATTCTAATCTGGGGATTAGCCAAAAGATTTTCCCCCCTACCATCACATGGCTCTGTGCACATTTCTTCCCCCAGCCCCTCGGCTGCTATATCCTAAAATATAAGAAAATATGTATGTAGCATTATACAGGTTATTGCTCTATTTACTTATGGCTGCTGCACAGAAAGAAAACGGAGAACAGAATACTTCAAGCTTTAGATGCTAACAATAAGTAATTTTTCCTAGTTTACCTACCAGCCTGCTTTATAACAGTGTATGCTAGTTCAGTAGCAAGGTGCTTTTGAACCTATTTATTGCTGTGAAGTAAAGAACTTTTAGAGAAATTAACCTGATTCTTCTCCACTTGTCATGGGATAAATTAGCTTCAACTCCATGAAAGTCCTTGGAAGTTACGTCACGGTAAAACTCATTTGAGAGGACAATCAAACCCTGTATCTTTGCATCGTAGTTAAATCTGGACACTTGAAGCTATCTATACAGCGAACAATATAATTAGTCTTAGAAACTGCACTTATAAGTATTTCACTTTTATTGAGCCAGCACTAAACACGCCTTCTTATAAAGTCTCCAATAACCACTGTATTGAACTGAATACTTCAAAGCACAATTCATACTGACTGTCCTTAATTCTAGAGAACTATAAGTCATTTCTACAAAAGGCATTTTTAAATTATGGTGTATCCCATATACTCAGTTTTCAGAAAGTACTGACACAGAATGAGCAAAGTATATTGAAAAAGTTCAATGAGTAAAATATGTAATACCAGAAATACTTTTTTCTTTACTTTTTTCTTTCTGAAGAGTCACCATGTGGAAGGCATTTTTTCTCCATAAGAATGCAGGCTCAAACATTCATATATGTAAATATTTAGGGGCATCTTCTGCTCTCACTTAAGCCCCAAATATCTCTATTATTTAATAATCTTAATGAACAGAGATGTATCTGACTTATTTGTAGTCTACAATTGAGGCAGGAAATCAATTATGAAAGAACAAATCTGGAGACTTAGAAATGAGTCTGTCCTTAGTCTGTAGCTGATTCAGGTAATTTCTTAAAGCCAGCTATTTCTTGCTTCAGATAATTTACAGTATAAACAGTCTATAGGCAAATGCAAAATGATACATCTAGGAACAAGAAATGCAGGACATACCTCCCAAATGGAGGTCTCTATCCAGGAAAGTATTGACTCCAATAAAGAATTTATGGGTCAGAGTGGACAAGCAACTCAACATGAGCAGTACTGTAGAAAAAAGAGCTAATGTGATCCTTGGATGTGTAAACAGGGGAGTAGTAGGTAGCAATAGGAAGTGATTTTACTTCTGCAGATAGCATCAGTGAGACCAATACTGAAATACTGCATACAGTTCTAGTGTCCACATTTTAAAAAGGATTTTGAAAAATTTGAGAGATTGCAGAAAAAAGCTACAGAAATGATTCAGGGGCTGAAGGAATTGCTTTACAGCGCGAGACTTAAGAGCTCAATCTGTTTAGCTGATCAGAAAGAAGACTGAGAGATGACTTCATTAGAGCATATAGGTACCTTCACGGGGAGAAAATACCAGATACTAAAGGGCTCTTTAATCTAGTGGATAAAGCCATAACAAGAACCAACGGCTAAAAGCTGAAGCTAGAAAAATTCAGATTAAAAATAAGGCACTTTTTAAAAAAAAAAATTTTTAATAGTGAGTGGGATTAACCACTGGAACAAACTACCAAGGAAAGTGGCGGATTCTCCATGTCTTGACATCTTCAAATCCAGACAGGATGTCTCTCTGGAAGACATGCTTGAGTCAGAACACAAGTTACTGGGCTCAATATAGGATAACTGGGTGAAATTTAATGACCTGTGATATACCAAAGGTCAGACTAGAACATCTAACAGTCTCCTCTGGCCACAAACTCTAGAAATCTGTAACTAAAGTTCTCTGACTGAGAAAAAGAATACTAGTATCATCATCTATTAATAAAATACTTCCTTCACAAATCCAGACTATAGGATCTTCACATATGACTTTAAGCACTGGAACCACTTCAAGCAGTATCATTTAACGGCACACACACACTGACTTGCCATGGCCAAATGTTCTAGAGAAGGTTGCAATGGGCCTGTTTCCTCTGTTTTCCTCTGCCTGCACAAAATCATATGAACATGATGAAGTGGGGAACAAGAGAAGGCAGAAGCAGTACAATTGGAAAAGTCTACAATCTTCTCAATTATCTTCCTCCAAAACTAGGATTACTCATGTAAGTATTGCTCAGTCTGAAGAAGGGCTGAAGAATCTGGACATTAGTTGGGTATTGCTACTGCTTACTAATTGCCTACATTGGGTGCTAAAGAGACAACTTTGTGAAGGAGAAAGGAAGGTTACGTAAGTGACTCATTAGATTAAGTGAGCACCACTCAACATGGCTAAGGGCCCAGTGTAGAGACAGACTGCCCTCCTGAAGCAAGGATCTAGCACTTCTCTCAAGACTTAATGTGGGCTTGGGTGCCTCCGCCCCATTGCACTCATGAGAGATGTTAGGATTGGAGGGAGGAGTTTAAGAAGGAGATACTCATGTCAATTGATGGCAGACCAGGGAGCAGAGCTGACCTTCAGTCCTCAGCTCCTGGAAAGAGGGCAAACTGCAAGCAAGAACTTCTCAGAGGACTGCTGCCCAACAGCCCTTGCCTGAAGAAAAGGAGGGCCAGAGGCTGACTCTCCTAGAGAGAGAACTATTCACCTCTACTACATGTGAACTCAGTTTAGGGCCACAGACAGATGAGTGCCCTTTGAAAGAAGAGAGCCTTAACCCAATTAAGGATAATTCATTTGTGTTAATTCCTCTTATTTCTCTTCATTAACTGCCCTTTAACATGACCTGGCCAGAGGGCCACGACACAGGAAGAGGGAGACCACCACGGCCCCAGAGCGACCATCAGCAGGAGGTACCGGATAGGAAGAGAGCTACTAAGCAACACCTGACCACAAAGAGGCACTAATAGTGAGTCAACCCCTTCATACCTACTGAGATCATATGGCTAGCCTTTTATCTCATTTCCTTTATTACACAAGGCGAAAGAGAAACAGCATACAGGAAACCTTTATCCCAACATGACAGAAATGCATTTGATACAGATCCCAATCCCTTCTTGCTTTTCTACAAAACGTCCATCACTTCAAATTTTCTGGGAAGAATGACTGTCTTCAAGTGACAGAAATCTTGTCATGTGACATTCAACTCTAAAAATAGTGGGATTTTTACAGATTTACAATTTTGTATCGCTCACTGAGCAGACAAAGTTCTCAACTGCAAAAATCTGGTAAAAACACTAATACCAAACATAAGAAGTTTTAAGAAATATTATTTAAAAAATGACAAAAAGCATCAAAGACAACGGGAAGACTATTTCTTTAACCCAGTGTTGCTGGCAGAGAGGAACTGAGGACAGAGGAATGTAGAACATTCATAACTGCAAGCTAATGTGTGTACACCACCTAACAATAACCTTATTTCTTTGTTCTCTAGCCAGGAATCACCTCTTTCCCGGCTGGTACAGAGGAATGAGATTATACTTTATATCATTTTCTTCTCCCAAACCAGTTTGGGGCACTTACTTTTCCACCCCACCTCATAAGGACTACATAATGGATTATTTTCCACATGTCTGAATCAAGCAAATTATCTCATTAAATAATTTACATAAAATAGCACACATACAGCTGCTTGGAAGATGAAACCGAAACCTTGGAATCTGAAATTTAGAGTGGAATTTAGGTAGGCAGATGTAATGGGAATTTGGAGAGACCATACAAATTAACCCCACTATTGATACAAAAAGTTATGCGCAATCATTAATATCCATAAGTGGTCATGTCCTTTATTTTACAGTTTGTCTGAAAGCCAATAATTCTACTAGCAAAATGGTCCTTAAAATTATGTTGGGCATTTGTTCCTTAATTACTCAGCAAAGGGTGCCACCTACTGAATTACCTGCTCTACTACCTACAGCACCTAGATTTTTCTGAACCAGAACAGTGAGATCAGACAAAATAACTATTTGAAGAGAGGCTTTAAGCCAATATAATTAATAATAAACAAATAAAAGCTACAGCATCAGGAGGATACAGGATGGGTAGAAGAGGATTAAAAGGGAGAACAGGAATGGAAAGAACTTGCAGCCAGAGGGAACAGGGGATAGACTGGAGAATAGCACTGTCACCAGGAAAAGGCAGGTCTATGTGATCGGGAACTCTTTATTGAGAAGAATAGACAGGCTTGTAACCAGAGCTGATCCAGAGAATAGAAGGGTGTGCTGTTTTCCAGGTGCTAAGATACGGGATGTAGACCTGAGGTTGAAAAGGATCCTAAAGGGAGCAGGAAAGTTATCCTAATTATCCTTCATGTGGGAACAAATGATACGGCTAGATTCTCGCTGGAAAGTATTAAGGGAGACTATGATAGGCTGGGGAAGACGCTTAAGGAAATCGAGGCTCAGGTGATCTTTAGTGGGATTCTGCCTGTTCCTAGAGAAGGGCAACAAAGGTGTGACAAGATTATGACTATTAACAGATAGCTCAGGCAGTGGTGCTATAAGGAGGGCTTTGGGATGTATGGCCACAGGGAGGCATTCATAGACAGATGACAGTTCTCTCGGGATGGACTTCATCTGAGTAGGGAAGGAAATAGACTTCTAGGATGGAGGAAGGCACAACTGATTAAGAGAGCTTTAAACTAGGAATTTGGGGGAGATGGTTGGGAGATGTCCAGGTAATCTCCACGCCGGATTTTAGCATTGTGAGGGAAGAAAACCAAGTAAGAAAGGATACAGCCGTGGGTAGGAGAATGTATGTAAGGAGGAAGGGCAGTGTGGATACCAGTCTAATAGGTTATACTGGCTGTAGAATGACCGTGCCT